GTAATCATATTAACAAAGCCAAATGATTATTGGACACAAATCAATCGGTTAATGAATGGCTACAAAAAGAGTGTAAAGTACAACATCAATTACCAACAACAGTTGGCGAAACGACGTTATGACAAGGAACGTGCCAATCCAGTTTATCATCCAGGTGATTTAGTATTTATCAAACAGCATAGTAAACGTCCAAAATTCGGTGAATTATATTCTGCACCATACAAAGTGATACAACAACAACATCCACACGCATATTTAGTGGAAGATGAAGAATCATCAATTCAAGAACAGGTTCATGTCAGCAGAATACAACCTGTTTATCAACGAATGATCTAAATTTATGTTATTAGTATTACATTTGATGGTATTATTTGGTACTGGTACTAGATAATTGGAAGGCCATAGTGATTATTATGACATAAAATTATGTAATTTATGTGATTAGCACGATATCGGGGGAGAGTTCATTAGCCTTCACTGATTAATAGGGCTCGTTACATTTTATTCAAATATCATTTACATCATAATAATAATGGAAATGGTTATAACACCACCCCCTGTGTTTACTCATAACCATAATGAGGATTAATTTAGCTAGGCTGACGTGTTCCACATAGATACATTATCATTCTATTTTATGGTGGGTCGATACTTCGTAATTTGCTAATGGTAATATTCAAATACTTCCATGATGAAATTCTTGGATGTGATAGTGATCGGCACAATACCTGATCTTCCTAAGACCGATCATCAAATCAAACAACAGCAACGTACGCGGGTACATCAAGCTCTTTTATTTTTTTTATTGTGATATTGCGGTGATTTTTATGGTTCATCTTCTTAGTGGAGGGAGGTGTTAGGAAGTGAATACGTTCACTCCCTAGGTTAAAGATCATTCTGTTTTAACTGTTTCATCATGCATTTCGTTTATCTCTTTTCGTTCCCTTTTTATGTGTCATCATACATATGATCTGTCTCTTTGTCCATTTCATCATACAGATGTTCTTTTTCCTTTTTTGTCTATTTCGTCATACATATGATCTCGTTCGGTTTTTGCGATATCATATGGTAGTTATCTATTTCATCAGACCAATGGTCTCGTACGCTCTTCTAGGTACTATTTCATCATTCATAGGATTTCAATCTCTTTTCATTATGTCATAGGTTTCCAGATAATCCTAGCATGGTGTGATTTAGAGTTGCATCATTTTGTTCATTTTAAATGTTTGATTTTTTGCTATAAATAACGATGCATTTTAGTAGGTTCGATAGGTTTTTGTTGAATACAAACAAAGTTTTATTTGATGGATCAACTTAGACTTTTCAGTCGGTGAAAGGGATTTTTACCCGGTGACAGCGCCCGACCTAACACCGACACACGTGTATATTTCAGACGAAGCAAAAATAAATCTTTTGCTTTTATAGTTATCTGTCGTACGATTTTTCTGACTTCGCTTATCAAAAGCTGAAACGTTTATTTTTGATTTATTCATAATGAGTTTCGGGGAAAGTTCTATACTTTCTAACATATATGAACAGAAAAGAATCTCCTAAATCTGATGCTGAATAAAACAATTAGTTTGGACCAAAATTGTTTGAGTTCAAAACAAGTCAAGGGTCGTGAGACAGACAACTACAAAAAGAAAAAGGTTTTTTTTGCTTCATCTGAAATATGTACATGTGCCTGTTCTTATATGCAATTTCAATATACATTTGTTTATACTTGACACAGACACGTGTATTATGTATACACATTGTCACTCTTAACGTTTTCCACTTGCGTGCATGATGTCTATATATACATTCCGTATACACACTGCTAGTTTTATAAAAGAAAAAGAAGCCCAAACAATCCTGATTATGCTGAAAGAGATGAAGACAAATTAATCTCTAAAATGTTCTAAGTTCTAAATTAGTTTTGAGCACAAGAGAGCTGAATAGTGAGAACTTAGTTTTATTTTAGATTACTTTGTTTGTCAGAATATCAGGGATACTTTATTGATATGTCCACGACATTTGCGTATTTCTCCTTGTGAACAGTGTAAAAAAAGTGTACTGGAGAGCAAGCAGAAAGAATATGATACCATGAAGAATGCAGCTTCTCTTTTACTCTCTTGCGATCTGTTCTCGAGACAAATGCCGAGTAAAACAGAGTGCAATTTGATCTAAAAGAGATTACGTTATGCTGCTTTAAAGTATGCATATAATCTCGAATACTTTTAGAAATGTCCATGAAAAAAACCCTTAAGATTTGTTCATTTTCTCCCATTATCTCAAATATAGTGAAGATAGGACAGAATAGAAAATAGGGCGATAGAAAAGTATAGATTCGATAACTCAGTGGAAAGAGTAGAAAGGAAGCGAATTCTTACGGCGCGAGTTCGATTCCTGCTCGAGTTGCTATATTTTTTTGCTTCTTTCCCTGGAAAACTTTCCGAAAAACGTTTTGCTTCCCGACTAACAGTACCCCGAGCCAGTTATCTTGGATACATATACAATCGACCATCCTCTATCCAAAAATGTAATTATCATCGACTATAGTTCTATTTAAAAATCATATCACCGAACAAA